GCACAGGTATGACAAAATACACAAGAACTGAGCTAAAGATCAGTGGCAACAAATCTTATGGAATGATCAATACAAATGAGAACATTTTAGTTTAATAGTCATCACTTTGTACAGAGGAGGTCAGAAGAGTGGTACAATGGTGAGTGTCTGAATGACAATGACCACAACAAGACTCCTAAGGCAGTAAAAGGATAACGGGAGAAAAAAAAATCCAGAATATTGCAAACGTTGGAGAGGCTGCATCTCAATGTTTTTGAAGCACTGTGGGATCATCTTGATGGAGAATGGAACAAAAGGCAGACAACATCCAAAGAAGAGCTTTGGCTGTTGGCATTTTTTGGAAAGTTTAATTCAGGTGAACCCAATGAGAGCCATTATACACAAATGGAGAAAAGGTGGAACAGTGCTGAGGGATCCCAGGAGTGACAGGTTGACCAACATTACTCCAAGAGTGCACCAAAGAGATCACAAAAGAACCTAGAACAACATTAAAGAACAGCAGGCTTCACATGTCTCAGTAAAGGTCAGAGTTCATTTTTCAACAATAGAAAGAGACTGTGCAGAAATGAAATCCATGGGAGAGTTCAAAGAGAAATCCACAGCTGACCAAAAAAAACACAGAGGGTCGTCTCACATCTGTGAAAAATAAATCAAGTCAAAGGAGCTTGCAAAGAAAAGCGTCTGGACTTCTTTAAGTTGCTTGAAGACGTTTCACCTCTCATCCGAGAAGCTTATTCAGTTCTAAGGTCAAATGGTGGAGAGTCCCAGAACCTTCACAGAAATAAATCAAGTCAACTGAAATTGAGAAGTGCACACACACACACACACATACAGGTGCCAGGATCTCCCGGATATGTATGGACGAAGGGGATGGACACTATATATACTGTAGTTAAAAGTGTCTTGTTGTTCTTCCTTTTTGCATGTAAGAAGAATCCACGTACATGTATTAAAGTCTCTCAAACTGACTTGGTGTTCATCTCTTTAGTGTTTCAACCTCTACATACTATACACTTACGTGTATACCATGTAACATTTTTTTTTAATTCTGGAAAATAGCAATTGATAATTTATTACCAATGGCCTCATTTTTTAAGGCTTATATGTAGTGTGTTAGTTCATGTATTCTCCTCCTTTTTGAGACCTCTGTTATTTTTATGTAGCTATGAAAAGTTTCACATTTTCTAGACTGCATAATCTTAGAATATTTTTAAAGTTAAAGAGAACTGAATTAGATTTGTGTGTGATGAAAACAAAGCAGTCAGAGTAATAAAGACAGAACACTTCACATGCAGTTTTATTAATGTAATAACAGTACACACTGAAATAGGTACATTGACTCACTGGTTCTCAGCTGACTCTCCTCCCTTTGTTGGCATGTCTGTAAACTCTGTGCCTATTTCATGTTCTCAAAAACAAAACTAGGTCTGTTAATTAGAATAGAATAGAATAGAATAGAATTCAACTTTATTGTCATTGCACATGCACAGGTACAGGGCAACGAAATGCAGTTTGCATCCATCCAGAAGTGCTTTAGTGATATAGATATATTACAATATATATTAGCAATAATATAGATATATAAGTATATTACAGAAATGGGTCTATTATGGTATGCTATAATGTACACGGTATGAAGTATGTTGTGAATATTCTATAACTATAAGTATGTACAGGCTGTAGTGAGTACAAGCTGTGTACAGGATATGGACAGGATATAAATATGAAAAACAAATTAATTCAAATTAAGAGAAATATTCAGCTACCTTTAAGCTATACCACGGTATCAATAACTGTGGTCTATCGTTAGACACAATTATTTTGTCTATTTTGACCCCAACCCACGGGCCACGGACCGGTACCGCTCCCTCAGTTGTTTCATGCTGGGCCGTTAGAATTGAGGCTTGAGTGTGAAATTTTTGGTTTTCGGGGGGGGGATGTTATAAGTTTTTTATCTTTATCTATCATTTATATTGTTAAGTTTCCCTGGGCCTTTTCTAGTATCATACTGGTTTTATTTTATTGTATTTATCCACAACACCTTAAAGGTATAAACCGGTCCGTAGCACGAAAAAGGTTGTGGACCACTGCTCTAAAGTATCCTACATATGAGTGAACAAACACACATTCTCATTAAAATGTTTCTCTCTTGGTCAGAGTAAAATGAAAATCCACATTGTACACACAATAAACACTGTTGATCATTATAAATACAGTTATTGGTTTTCTTCAGCTCTGGGTGTTTGTTGTTGGACTGTAGAATTGGACTTTGCAGCTCTGTCACCCGGACCATACACCGTCTCTGGCTGGGGGATGTTTTCAGTCTTAGTGGAAAATTTACCAAAGCATAAGTAGATGTTGGAGAATGACATGAGTCATGTCCTGAGGGAGTCTGATTTTGAGTCTGGACTGGAATGATGTCTTGCAAATAAATCAAAAGTGCTTTGTTAGGGACATGTAATAGTCATGATCATTTATCTTACATGCAAGAAAATATCACAAACAGTGATGTCTAAATCTGACAAGAAGAAGCAATATATATAGTTAAGAGAAGCCTTTATTAGTCTCACATGCGGGACATTTTTGGTCATGGCAGAAAGTACAAGTTTAAGAGCAGTAAAAATTAAGAAAAGAACAGCAGCCATACTATTGTAATGACCACACTGTAACCTCTGCATATTTACAGAATATACACTACATATCAGTTTAACACTGACATTTATCATCTTATATAATATTTGAGTAGTTTGAGGTATATTTATGATATATTTACGGACAACGTGCATCTTTAGGTAGATAATAGACCTTTTTCTCCTCTGTCATTCTTCCTTGTGGTCTTTAACTTTTTGTTTTTGTTTTGTTTTCTAAAAAGGGGGGAAGGGAAAACAACAAAATTAATTAATGAATTTCCTTCTGAACACTTCTCCATCTTTGTTTTATAATTTTGATGGCTTTATTGTTATTTGTTTTTACTTGATATTGTTATTCATTTTTAATTGACTTCTTAAATCTCTCACTTCAGAGTGAATGAGCACAGTTATAAACACACACACAGAGCATACACAAAATTAGCTCATACCTGCTGTACTAAAGTATATCTTAATCTGGGCTTCCCATGGCATTACCTAATCATAAGAGGAATGTGTATTTGTATAAAGTGTATGCTTAAACGGAAAATATAATTTTTGTGTACCTTATGTATCACCAATTCACTAAAAAAAACATTGGAACTTACATTTCATGATGCCACAAAGGTTATGAAGAGAGTCAGCAAGAAGAGAACAGAAGTCGAAGCTGCATTTATGATGGCTCCACTGGGAGCTGTAATGAAATTAAATTGTTATGTCACAGAAATTTTGGTTAAATACTTGGATTTATTTGCAAAGAACAAAAAATATAATAGCAGTAAATCTTTTACTGATCATTACAATATTACATTACATACCCCTGGTTGTGGCAGTTTGCTTAAACAAGTTCTTTAAGAAGGCAATACAGATTTTGTTGACAACCATTCACAGTCGGTGGTCAGTTCACACCTACATTCAATTATCAGTTGAGTTAACCCCACAAACTACATGTCTTTGGAGAAGTAGTTTGACATGGGGACAACATGCAAACACCACACAGCAAGGCCTTTAAAATCTGGTTATTTCAGTTTTTCATTCATTATGACCGTTATTCTCACCTGTCTCTGTTTCACAGTAAGATTTGAGCACCTTCATGGTTTGATTCCAGCTCACTTGGTTGCTGTGATTACAGAAAATGGTGTCTTGCTCCAGGTAAACAATCAGAGAGGAAAATTTTTTTGTGGCCTCCAAATCCCTTTCTTCTGCATGAGCGCAGTTTTTACCATCACATCTAAAACTACTGCTGATGTTAAAGTCCACTGTGCTGCAGGTCACAGTCAGGTCACAGGAGTCTGAGCTGTTGGACACAGGGTCCACTGTCAGGTCAGCAGGAGTCACTGGATCTGCGGAACAACAGGTGTGAAAGTATTAAAAACAGGTCTATGATGTGTGAACATTTCAAAATAATGAAAGGAGAAACCTACCTTGAACTATGACCTTGTATTGAGCTACCCTTTGCTCTTGTTCGTTGACCACAATTGCAGTATAATCTCCACTGTCACTGTGTTGAACATTCTTTAATTTCAAAGAGCAATTTGGTCCAAACAGCTCAGCCTTTCCTGCATATTTGTTATACACGAATGGATCTTTATTAAAAACACATTTAGCTATATTGTTACTGGAACTGTATTTCCAGAACAAATCTGTCTGTTCATCAAGTGTAACAGGTTTCTCTGTATCCAAGTGTAAGTCCTTTCCATGCAGCACAAACACATGTTGGAGACCTAAAAGAAAACAATTAAAAAATAGAATTAAAAAACTTAACAACAATAATAACAACACTAATATCAGAACCGTGTGCATGAAGCTATATATTGTAAAATTTACTAAAATGACAGAAGGTTATGTCAACTTAAGATCACAAAAAATTAATGTGGAATAGTATTTAATTCTCCTGTCCAAAAAACATGTCAGTGCTGACTGTGAGGCAGGCAGAGTCAGACCCAAATGCGGGAGTTGGAAACAAGGGAGGTAAACTAAAAGGCAGTTTTATTGCTAAACTTAAACATAATACAGAATAATGCAGACTGAAAAACAAGGAAAACATAAGTGTGTTGATGCATGCTCAACCATCCAGGTAAGGAAATCCCAAAAAGTTCATTCTGATCATCTGGATGCAGCGTTTTTACTGATCCAAGACTGAAGAAGTCACTTGGATGAGTGACAAAATGTTGCTGAAAACGTTATATCCAGATGAACAGAATCAAACTTTTGGGTAAATCTATGAGTCTTCAGGGACGACAGACTGCAAGGAAGGACACAGCAAAGGACAAACGGACACAGAGACGATAAATAACAGAAGGGAATTAACATCATCAATGAACCAAGGACTAGAAGCAAAGACAGCAAACAGAAGAACCAAGAAACAATATCATAATCATTATACAAGGCTCAAACATAGATCACACAGTTACAAGGATCCTGGTGTAGAAAGTAATATTAAATAAATAACAACAGCTCATCAAGCTTAAACGTGCTGCTGCTCCAAATGCTTAACCAGACCGCTGACAGGTCTCGCACAGCCGCTCTATCACGTGACGCATACTGCTCCGACTGCTAAGGTCATGAGCTGGGTTATGCAATGTGCAAGTTTTGTGAGGTGCTTTTGTGATATTTAATGGATCGGATTTCATTTTCCATCCAGTAATTTAGGTCAGTATCGGAGCGATACCGATACTGTATATCGGCTCGGTCCATCCCTAATGTAGGCAATGCAATAGATACATTGCTGAAGCTAAACTATTTTTTTAATACTGTAAAATGTCCTGAAAAAACTATGTGAAGTACATTAACTGTGTTTTTCAAAGGGTCCATGAAAATACTGGGTAGTTTAGCACAAAGGTGACAAGTCTATAACAGTTTACAGTAATACACTATGTTTAACTGGTGGAACAGAAGCTGAGGTGTTCGTAGTCATTATCAGGTTACTTCATGAGTAGCAGAGGTTAATTTAACTTTAAGCGGATGGTGCCGGTTAAGGTCACACTAAATTCCACCTTGATGTTAACCTGTTATACTGCTCGGGAGTTTAATATCCACGAAGAACAGTAATTATGAAGCAGCAGCACAACTCAGCTGACCACACCCCATACACGAGCTTTATTTAGGCTTATTTCAGAAATAAATCGGATTTATTGCTACGTGATTCTTTTCTCCACACTGAACAACTACACTTGAGCATTAGGTTAGCTGCCAAATCCCACTAAAACCCCTGACTATACAGATTATCTTGCAAATCTGCAACAGCTATTTTTTCATTCCCTTTCTTTGTTTTTGTTTTGTTTTTTCTGCTTGTGTTTTAAAAACAGATCTTCAAACTGAGTAAAACAATGATAATTTAGAATGAAATAAAGTTTCTATTCCTACACATATTACAGCTTTAATAACGCTCCACTTTTATTTATTTATTTATTCATTTATTTATCTGTAGTATGTCTTACGTGTAGTCACCTAGATTTCAAAATAAATATACAGCTCCAAAAACGTATTAGCATAACTTATTAGTATACAAATTCATCCTTACCTTGTATTTTACATGAACACAAGCATAAAACAGCTCCAAAAAACACTATGCGATCCATGACTTCAGATCCATGAAATTACTTCAGTCTGGAAAAATGAGCCACTCCCTGTACAACAGGATGAGGAATTATTGCAACTTAGTCCTTGTTCATCCTCATATCATTCCCCCGCTTTCTTCGGTGGGACGGACTAAGAGAGGAGTCGAAAAGAGTAATCCAGGATGTGCATCCACGGTTATTTCCCGATGTCTCCATCAGATGTCAGGGTGGAGCTAATAATTCTGTCGGTAAACAGTGAAAACGTTTGAGGGAAAGGGGAGTTTCTGTGGGTCGTGAAATAGAAGCTTCAATAAGGAAGCTCTGTAATCATTCATCCGCCTGCTTTCCTGGCTGTTCGGCTGATAGTCTGTCCTTTATTTCATTACCTGTTTTCCACGCTGTCAAACTCGGTACTGTCATCATTACTGTAATGCAATCACATTGACAAAATGTGAGAGGTTATAGAATAAAATGATAAAATGTGTGAATAACCATTCATATCACAAAAGTTATCTTCTAATTCTCAGTTAAATTACACAAAAAAATAACAGTAATAATATACTCAATTTGTAAACCAAATGTTTTAATGCATGTATAAGAATGTTTTTGTAAGTGTATATCATTTTAAATTGTTTTAAGGATTTCATGTAATAACAAATAACAACAAAAAAGAGGTTTTTTTTCTATAGAAAGCAGATTAAGAGACTGAAATTGGTATTATTTTGTATTATTATGTTTTTTGGAAACATAAAAGATAAAGCCTCGCATCCTTTTTTCAGATAGCGGCACTGTTGTTTTGCTGTGAGGGAAAAAGTATGAAAATAAATAACAAAATTAAATTGTAGGACAATTTAGAATGGAAGGTTGTAGAATCATAATTTGACACTAGTTTGTTTTTCATTTTCAGCCCAGTCCTGTATACCTCAACATTTTCAGAGGATATCTTTTCTTTTCTTGCTTTAAATTTAGTTAAACTACTTAATAGTGACTTGTGAATAATTCAAGGATATAAAAGGCATCTAGTTCGAGGGATGAACAAGTGTTGTGTTGACACATAACTGAAAAACAGCAACAAAAACATTTTCATATCTCTTTAGTCTCTATGAAAAACATCATTAAAACACAGTATGATAGGCATCAATTTGTATTTTTGAATGGGGATTACCTGAGAACCACCAGAAACATGAAAAATTTAAGCATGGTGTGGAATTTGAAGATCTGAAGGACAAAAGAAGTGTCAGACCTAAAAACTATCTACAGCAGATGCGCAGTATCTGAAAGCAATGTCCTTAAGAAATGGGTACATTTATTTTCTTTTTGTTTTAAATTTAGGTAAACTACTTAATACTGACTTATGAATCATTCAAGGATATAAAAGGCATCTAATTCGAGGGATGGACAAGTATTGTGTTGACACATAACTGAAAAACAGCAACAAAACATATTTTTCAGATCTCTTTAGTCTCTATGAAAAATATCAGTAATAATACAGAATGATGACCATCAATTTGTATTTTTGAACCAATATGGGGATTACCTGAGAATTGATAGCAAGAAACCTGAGCTATTTCAGCATGGTGTGGAGTTTCACCTAAAAAGATCTGAAGGACAAAAGAAGTTTCAGGCCTAAAACCTATCTACAGCAGATGCACAGTATCTGAAAGCAATGTCCTTAAGAAATGGGTACAGCAAAGACCTGACACAGGACTTGAGAGATGCAACTGGCCTTTCAGATAATCCATCTACTGTTCTCTGAAGCTTCAACAGAAGTGGTGTCAGTAGAAAGCATGTTATAAAGAAGCCATAGGGTAAGGGAAACAGAGAGAAAAGGCACAGGTATGACAAAATACACAAGAACTGAGCTAAAAATCTTATGGAATGATCAATACAAATGAGAACATTTTAGTTTAAATAGTCATCACTTTGTACAGAGGAGGTCAGAAGAGTGGTACAGTGGTGAGTGTCTGAATGGCAATGACCAAAACAAGACTCCTAATGCAGTAAAAGGATAAAGGGAGAGAAAAAAATCCAGAACATTCAGTCATGACTGACCACCCCAGAGGCTGCATCTCAATGTTTTTGAAGCACTGTGGGATCATCTTTATGGAAAATGGAACAAAAGGCAGACAACATCCAAAGAAAAGCTTTTAATGTCCTTTATCCTTGCCAAGTTGAGTTGATAAAAAAAAAGTGGTGAGACAAAAAAATAACATGTTTATTTATGTTTAAATCAATACATTATACTTGCACAGGTTTCAATAAAATGCTGCACCTATTACCTAATTTTACAAGCAAAATATGAAGAAATAAGGGGTGACTTAAGACTTTTGAAAAATAAAAACATATACAGTCATGTGAAAAAGAAAGCTTTGACTCTATGTGTAAAAAAAAACACTTTTACTTCTTCCATTTAAAGTCACATGAATGTTACCAGGGTCTAAATTGTAAATGTTGAAGTAACACTTCTTCAAAATATCAAGTATATATTCATGTGAAAAAACTACACTTACTGCCTCTATAAGAATTAAGAGGTTAAGTAGTAGCCAGGTGCTCCTAATCACATGCAATTCTTGGAAAGCTAAATTCAGTGTTACTAAACACACTCAGGCCCGATTACTGGCAGAACTGTTGATTCACTTAAAGAGAAGCTGTCTGCCAAACTGAAGCAGGCTAAGATCTCAAAAAGTAACAAACCATGCCACGATCTAGAGACACCTGAGAAGCATAGTCACTGACATCTATCAGTCTGGAAAGGGTTACTAAGCCATTTTAATACTTTGAGACTAGATGAACCAAAGTGAGAGCCATTTTACACAAATGGAGAAAACTTGGAGCAGTGCTGAAGCTTCCCAGGAGTGACCAGCCGACCAATATTACTGTAAGAGTGCACTGACCCGGAGTAAAGAGGTCACAAAAAAACTAGAACAACATTAAAGATCTCCAAGCTTCATATGTCTCTTTAAAGGTCAGAGTTTATGATTCAACAAAACAGAGACTGGGAAAAAATGACCTCCATGGGAGAGTTCAAGGAGAAAAGCACAGCTGATCAAAAAGACCACAGAAGGTTATCTCATGTCTGTGAAGAAACAAATGAAATTGAGAAGTATACGCACACACACACACACACACACACACACACACACACACACACACACACACAGACACACACACACACACACACCTATGCACTTATAATTAGTGTCAGTGTCACCTGGTTCAATGTGGTTCATGTGACATATGCTTTCAGGTGCATTTACAGACATCCAAAGTTAAGTGGGAAGCATGTGATCAGTGACCTTTAGGGGATATGGGTCATCATACAGGTGCCAATATGTAGGGACAAAGAGGCCTCTTTCTAGAGGACAGAAAGATCTGTGGGACATTGACATTATATACAGTGGGGCAAAAAAGTATTTAGTCAGCCACCGATTGTGCAAGTTCCCCCACTTAAAATGATGACAGAGGTCAGTAATTTGCACC